GCATGGAATGGGATATTCTTAATGCCAATAGAATTGCTCTTTCTCAAACTAATGATACTCTGAATCAAATCCTTTATTTTCCTAACGGAAGCGTTAGGATGAGTTTCAATTTACCATCAACCTCAAACTCCTAACTAGATTTGTTTCTTATAGATCAACTTCTAGATCTAGACATAGATCTAAATCTGAAATTCCTTTTCAACCAGGAAGATTTTCAACTTCTAATGACAAGGAATTCTCTTTAGATGGTATAAAGACATGACTTTAGATGGTATAAAGACATATTCCTTTCTAGAGTTATGCTTCGTGATGACTGCAACAATGAATTTTGGAAAGAAAGATTTATTTTTGGACTTCCAAAACTTTTTTGCAGAAAAAGTTCGAAATTCTATCAAAATTCAAAACAATGATTCTATTCCTTATTATAGTCTCACCTTTGGAGAGATTATAAGTTTTATTGATAAAGAAGGACTTGCTCTTTGCAATGATCTCAAACTCAAAACTAAACTCAAATCTGATAGATTGGGAAGCAAAAGAGAACTTGGGTCTTTCTGTGAGCAATATAATTTTGAAAAAATTATTCCTCCTTCTACAAAAAATAAACAAAAATATTTTCCTTCCTTTTTGAGAAAAAGAAAAAATAATTTTTTCTAGAAACCTTCTTCTCAAACTTTTCAAAAAACTAGAATTCAAAAGAAATTTCAAAAAAGATTTCCTTCTAAATCAAAAAATTTGACCAAAGTTACTTGTTACAAATGCCATAAAATTGGTCGTTTTTCAAATAAATGTCCTATGAAGGGAAATATTAATAATCTTCAAATTGATGAAGATGTCAAGCTTGAACTTCTCAATTAACTTTACTCTAGTTCTGATGAAAATTCCGATTCTGAATTAGAACATATTTATCAAAATCAAGAAGATTCTGATAATGAATCTAATTCTTCATTTTCCTCTCATTCCTGTCAAAGTAAAAAGATTTGTGGATGTGAAACCATAAACGTTCTTACTAAAGAGGAAGAACTTATTCAAAAAATAATTGAGAAAATTGATGATTCTCAATTAAAGAAAATATCTCTTACCTTCAAAATCCCTTCAATCATCTAAAAGCTCAAATTTTTCGTCTCGAACATCAAGTTAGAGATATTAAATTTGAGGTTGCTCTTTTCAAATCCAATAGTCAAAATATTCAAAATGAAAACGATTCATCCGATTCTGATTCTGATTCTAAAAAAGAATTAGAATACATTGCTCAATTTGATCATCCTGAACTTTTCAATAATCCGGATCAAACTATTCCACTTACCGAGGTAGGAAAGGTCAATGTCATTAATCGAGTTCAGCTTCAAAAATGGTACTGTCAAATGGAAATAGTTGTTAATAAAAGTTTTAAATTAACAACTAGAGTTCTTATTGATTCAGGTGCTGATCAAAATAGTATCCGTGAAGGATTAATTCCTACAAAATATTTTAAAAAAACTACTCAGCGTCTTTATGGAGCCAGTGGAAAGAAATTGAATATTCAATATAAACTTTCCAATGTCCATGTTTGCAAAACATATGTTTCAAAAATATTTTTTATTTGGTTAAAGATTTAGATCAAAAAGTTATTCTTGATACCACTTTTATTGTTCAAATTTATCTTTTTCAAACTTCTGAAAAGGACTTTCTACCAATATTTTTGGTCAAAATTTATTCTTTAAATTTACCAATCCTCCTTCTTTCAAAGATGTTAATGCTCTTAAGCAAGCATCTATCTCTCAAATTATTAATAATATAAATTTCAAAAAACAACATGTTAAATTTCTTCAAGAAGAAATTAAATTTCAAAGAATTTTTGATCAACTTCAAAATTCTTCAAATAAAAAAAAATCTCAATTTCTTAAAAAATCCGAAAAAGAAGTTTGTTCTACTATCCCTAGTGCTTTCTGGAGTAGAAAGAAACATATTGCTTCTCTTCCATACAATTCTGATTTCAATGAATCAATGATTCTTACTAAGTCAAGACCTATTCATATGAATAAGGAACTTCTTGATTACCGTACCAAAGAAACCAAAGATTTGATTGAAAAGGGACTTATTCGTCCTAGTAAATTTCCTTGGAGTTGCTTTGCATTTTATGTGCTTAATCAAACAGAAATAG